CACTTTTTAAGTGATTTGGTTTATCAAATAAAAGTAGAAGTTAGTTCAACATGATTATGGCGGTAATGATAGTGATGATGAAAAGAATGATGATTGTGGAGGTGATATTGATGTGGATAATGTGATGCTGCTGATCATTGTGGCGGGGATGCTGATGCTGCTGACGATGTTGTCGATAATGGTGACAGTGATGATGACACCTTGGCCAACCATTGACGGTGATGATGATGATGATGATGATGATGATGACGACGACGACAACGACGACGACGACAACTACGACGATGACACCTTGACCAATCGTTGTCGATGATGATGATGATGACGACGACGACGACGATGATGATGAGGGTGATGGTATGGATGTGAAGAAGAAGAAGAAGAAGAAGAAGAAGAAGAAGAAGAAGAAGAAGAAGAAGAAGAAGAAGAAGAAGAAGAAGACATCTTGGCCAATCGTCAACGTGAGCTATTTTCCTTCGTCTTCGCTCTCCGTCCCAAGCGTACCCCCAAACCCTTGTTGTTACAGCGTAACCTTTCTGGCCAATAAAATTCAAAATGCCTTCGACGCGCCTTCTTTTGCAAACCACGATCATTATTTTGTTGTCACTTACTGCTATTTCTTACGAGGGAGGACCACTTGCTGGTAGAACAGCCAGGTAATCAACCAGCGTGTGCAGTGAAACTTCAATTTCACACGTGCAACTCACACACCTGGCTGTTCTTCCAACAAGTGGTTCTCCCTCGTAAGAAATAGCGAAAAGTTACCACAAAATAATGATCGTTTGTTAAACAAATGTTTTATTCGGGTGTCAAAAATTATGAGACAAGTCATCAGAGTTGGTCTGTCGATTTTATGTGACTGTGCAAAGTTTGATTTTGTTGCATTTATTAGATTTTGTGATTTTGCAATTCATCGGTCTCAAATGAAGTCAAACGGACTGAAGTCATAATGTTCTCCCAACATATTTGAATCTCTCATTCAAATTTCAACCTTGACCTAAGATGCTGACTCTTGCCTATGATTGGCTGACAGAGTCGGGAAAGGTCAGTACTTATGAAAGATACATACAGAAAGCCTATGATCACAATGTCAACCGATCATGTGCTTGACATCAATAAAGAATTAATCGGATGTAACACAGTCGAGCATCCTCATCACCCAGTCGGCGGGAAGGATTTGTATTTTTGAGTACGGGCGAACTTAGCAGTCTTGATTTCGAAATCGAACGTAAACGAACAGCTTCTTTTAAAGAATGGTAACTGTTGTGTAATAAAAAGACCAAATAAACACACACACAGACAAAATACAAAACAAACAAAACAACACCCCATCCCTCCAAAACAGCTGCAAAAGATACCTTTTCTGAGCGCTATAACACCTCCGACCGAAGGCTGCCGAGAAGTGTGGCCTAGTGGTTAATGCTTTTGTTTGGCCCGGGTCGATTTCCCATATAGGTACATCTTTTGAAACAAATTTCTTGTTTTCACTGCCGTTATATTGCTGGAATATGGCTAAAAGCGGCGTAAAATCATACTCACGTACTCACTCGAGTGATCATTGTTGTATTATCTTGCTTTTTCGTCTACATGAAGTAGATATATGCAGTCTTTTTAACTGACTTCGTAATCAGCTGGTTTTACTGTGTCGTCAAACTTCGTGCACCTGGCGGAAATTCTAATGATGGATGGTTTGATGTTTAATGTCGCGCTCAGCAATATTCCAGCTATGTGGCAGCGGTCTGTAAATAATGTGGCAAGACAGACGCGTGATTGACATCATGAGCATCGTTCTACGCAACTGGGATACAATGACAGTCATCAACCAAGTCAGCGAGCCTGACCAGCCGATCATGTTAGTTGCCTCTTCCGACAAGAACGGGTTGCTGAAGCCCATTACAACCCGGATCTTCACGGGTAACATTATTCTCTTCCCACAGAGGCTACTTGTCATAACCCGTGAAGATCCGGGTTAGAATATTGATCTTCAGTAACCCATGCTTGTAGTAATAGGCGACTAACGGGATCGGGTGGTCAGGCTCGCTGACTTGGTTGACACATGTCATCGGTTCCCAGTTGTGCACATCGATGTTTATCACTGGATCGTCTGGTCCAGAGTCGATTATTTACAGACCGCAGCCATATAGCTGGAATATTGCTTGGTGCGGCGTAAAACTAAACTCACTCACCCACTCACTCACTTGTCATATCTTCGACATATAACACGTAACCTCTGTGGGAAGAGAATGTGGTAACAGGGGATGGTGCTGAATTAAAGTTTATCGCGGTAAGGTGGAATTGAATATGAAGTGTTTTGGCTGCTTGCACTAGTCTGGGCTAATTCCTGCTGTATAGTGCTAGCCAACGGAGATACCATGCCCCCGTTTATCATAGATACCCTATTAAAACACAGCATACTGATTCCATGCTGACCAGTGTTTGTGCGAGCCTTTAATGCCGAGCATGAGGCAAGGTAACAACAAGCATCTTCTCTAACCACAGACCTTCTGTCCATTTGACCATGGGGTAACTTTAATGAACAAACAATTCGTTACCACAGCTTAGCATACACTACCTCTTAGGCAAGGTATCTCGTCCTTATGTTTTGTAAACTCTTTTCCAAAGATTTTGTTCACCAAAACAACGAGGGTTTGAAAAATAGAGTAAAGTTGTAACAGTTTATTGCCCAAACATAACAACACATGAAAGCGAGTATGGTTTTACGCCGCTTTTAGCATCATTCCCGCAATATTCCAGCAACATTCCCGCAATATCACGGCAGGGGATACCGGAAATGGGCTTCACACATTTACCAGCGAGAGTAATCGAACCAGGGTTTCCGGCCTGACGAGCGAATGCTACCACTGGATTGGTCTTGCCCCACACATGTAAACATGATGTCACATAAGAAGAGGAAATTGAAATCGTGATTTTTCTTGAAAACATCTTTGAAGTGTGTCCATGCCACCAGGAGCCCCATTTCCTATGTATTAATTTATCATTTCGTAACATCAATCGCTTTTCGATTTTATTCAAAGCGTATGAATATTTAATGTCTTGTAGCATAAAGTTGTTTAAATGTAAAGAGAGGTATAATAATATATACGTTAGAATCGACGCAATCGCATGTCGTGTTTTGTAAATAAAATCTTTTTGTTTTGGTTGACTTACGATTTGCTTCTTATTTGCATAAATTACGAATAATCTCCCCACCCACGGTCCCCCAAAGCATAAAACCCCTTGATCTATCGTGGGTATTTTGGGACTCATCAGATGGTTTTATAAAAATAATTTATTTCACCTTACACAAAAATGCAAGGCTCTTACTGAAAGAGACACGTTCTATTATTTTAAAATCCCCCGCGAACATTTCGGCACATTTCGTTTGTTCCCCGTTCTAACTTTTACATCTACAACATTCCAAACGCGTTTTTATCAATTGAATTACAGATGTAACACGCCATAGCGCTGATATTTATCATATTTTCCGCAAGAAATACATCTAAGGGGAAAACTTTCAGATTGTTGTTTGTCGTCTGCCACAAATGCCTAACTGTGGTATTCTTACCAATTCGAACCAAATGGTGCTTGCGTAAGACATACGTACATGTATTTAGGTGATAAATTCGATGTCCATAGGTCGTAATGGCTCATGTACATAGAGTATAAAATGTCCATCCTGGAGGCTGTGGCAACCACCCGTGAAGATCCGGGTTAGAATTGGTCTTCAGCAATCTATGCTTGTCGGAAGAGGTGAGTAACGGGATCGGATGGTCAGGTTCGCTGACTTGGTTGACACATGTCATCGTATCCCAATTGCGTAGATCGATGCTCATGTTGTTGATCACTGGATTGTTTGGTCCAGACTCGATTATTTACAGACCGCCTCCATATTGCGGGGATATTGCTGAATGGGCGTAAAACAAACAAACAAACAAACAAACAAACAGTGGCACCTGGTAACTATATAAACCGTGAAACATATGTAGAATATATCAATTCCACAAAGTTAATTTTTGAAATGATTTTGTCGTTTTTTGCATAATAATTAGTTTGTTGTGAACTATGAAATTGTCATATTTCTAACAGAGAGTTGCATGCCAGATTCACAGTTTTGGCCGAGACTAGTCATCGTGTTTAGATGTGTGTAAGGGAGCGAATATTGTTTTATGCCGACTTTAGCCCTTGAAATTTTAGAAATATCACGTTGGTTGTTAGTAGGTTTATTGTTTAAAGCCGCAATCAGCAATATTCCAGCTGTATGGAGGCGGTCTGTAAATAATCGAGTCTGGACCAGACAATCCAGTGATCAACTGCAGGAGCATCGATCTACGCAATTGGGATACGATGACATGTGTCAACCAAGTCAGCGAGCCTGACCACCGATCCGTTAGTCGCCTCTTACGGCAAGCATGGGTTACTGAAGACCAATTCTAACCCGGATCTTCACAGGTCTCAGAAATATCACGACAGGAGGAACTAGACTGGGCTGTAATTCACTGTACTGGGATTCGAACCTTGACTTTCGCGTGACGAACGATCGAATGCTACCACACACGGTGCCACATCGCAACATATTTCACATAACCCGGTGATTGGAATGATTGTTTTTAAAGTGTCGCTCCAACATTTAACTTTTTTTAGTCATGTATGATTTATGATGCAGAAGACATCTAACGTCATACAGTTTCCTGACCCAATTACCCAGCATGCTTCAGGGTATACACAACATCCCAACACATGAAAACAGCTCCGATATTCTACCGCAAGATATAAAAAACACAAGCCGAAATGGTGGCAATTTTTGAGAAACCCGGTATTCCATCATCGTTAGTCGTCCGGAGATTAGTATCATATAATTACAACAAACTCGTCGTTAAGATACCTCAAAGGCATGACGTGACGACTCAATACCTTGAAAACTCCACGCAGCGACATTAAAGCGGTTAATACAGACCCGCAGGTTATAACACCATTGAGGAAATACTGGAAAAACGCGCAGCATGGAGTTGTGGCCGTATGCAAGGTAAGGCACGCTAGACGTAATATTGCCGTTCACTAACGAACGTTTCTTATATCGTGTTTATGAAATTGTTTAAACACGCTTGGCTACCAAGCCATCCTTTGATTATGTTTTATATTTCAAATTTGAATTTATCGGTATGATAAAAATTAAAAACATGAAAATGCAGTATTTTTTTCTTTTTGAATTGAGTCTCGTTTCGCGTTCCTGACATCCACAGTGGTTAAGTCGTTTTTAATGAATCGGAATTCGATAGTCTAAGTACTCAAATTCCTTTGCGGAACGGGATGCTGAAAATAAGCGCAAATTATTTTTGTGAATAAATAATTTTAGTACTTTGGTTTCTGTATTCAACTTTCATATAAATTCTTTAAGACCTACTTCAAACTGTCAACGGGGAATAATGTATTCAGTGACCTCTGAAATAAAAGCAGGACGCCATTGTGTTGTCTGTTGATACAGCAAAGCATTCTGCAATTGTTTCGAGAATTGTAGGTTTTGGAATTTCATGCACGTGAGAAATCGGCATCATTGTATTAATACTAGCTAGACTGTTATTTTGGCTCCAGCTCCCAGCAAATCAAAGAGGCTCCAGGTCGACAAGGCGACCTCAACGCGTGGACTGCCCATGTCAGTGTTAAAGTACCGTGGTAAGTTAGTTAGGCTTGCCTTACAGCTACTGGGCCTTGCTTCGAACTCGCAACTCAAATACCTAGCCTTTTGGTGAAACCAACATAAAAAGGCTCACTCACTCACTCACTCACTCACTACCACATCCCTCAGAATATCATTTTTTATTATTCAGTTTAACGCCCGTTCTCACCAATGAGGTGCAAATGGGTAAGTGTCGTAAGTCAAAAATCAACTACACAAAATCTATGCAAAAACATTTTATTTAGACAGTTTGGTATATGGTCTATTACATATCACATTTTCAGCCACACCATTTTACAAATAACCATACAGCTGTTATCTAACTGTGGCACCTTGAATTACAAAATATTATCACCTGATACGTACGTGACTAGTTTTTCTGACTAGAGAATTAAGTGACAATGTGATAAATTATTTGAGTAACCTATCAAATATTCCGCATAAGTTTGGCGATTTAGTAACACACATGTCTGCTCAAAGACTTTATATGTACTTTGACATACACATTGTAAATCATTTGCACCTCATTAGTGAGAATGGATGTTAAGACAAATTCTGTCAAACACCGCTATGTCGAACTAACGGCTGTCTCGAAGCTGAAGCTGTGTTCCTGCGTATATCTTTTTTGGTCATAATTGTACATAGGTTGACCAACAGTGATTGACTGTTAAAGACAGCCGTGCCGCAGGACACGTCTCACTGGACACAGCCAAAACATTAATAGACTGGTTCTTTGCCTCTGTTGCTCACGCTACACAGCCAGCTAGCTGAGGCGAAGCATTTGAGCAGAGGACCAGTCAAGGAATCCAACGTTTAAGACGTAGACATTGAGAAGTCGTTCCAAGCGCTGCTTTTTCACCCAAAACGAGGATTAGATTAATATATATATATATCAGCGTCAAGTGTTTATTTCACTAATAATTGCGCGTTTTGCGACGCGTGCTCGCCTAAGAGGTTCCCGGGACATTCGTAACGTGTACAAAAAGCGAATTTAAGTCACGTGACTTCTAATATTCGGATATCATTCCATGGCCTCCTCCCAGTTCTATTCGGTCCGAGCATGAATCTCGGATTAGCTGAATAGGTTTACTGTTGCTTACCGATCAGTACCATTTTTACCGGGAACACCACACAATACCATTAACATATCTTCTAAATTCGCCTCCATCGTCGTGTCTTATAAGGGGACAGAACTCGCATCATATTCCACGCATCGGTGAGCGCTCATTTCCGCTAATCGTTTGTAAAACGATCTGACTTTTAGGACTTTGAGAAGTTGCAATCTTGTTTACAATGACATGTGTCAAAAACAAAACAAAACGTTTTTAAATAAATTTCAATAATAAACAAGTCAAATGATATATACTAAAAGCCATTAAAAATGCAATTTGACATTCATACTTTCTTTACACACACTAATGTCAACATATATAAACCGAACTGGCAGATATGTTTTAAGTGAACATCTGTGAATAATTTCATCTGAAAATGTCCAGTCAACAACAACATCAGTGACGCAACAACGACATCAAACAAAGGAGGGGTCACTTGCAGTCAATATCGTGCGTGTCCAACGTGCGCTGCAAGACATGCTCGCAGTCTTTGGGGCATTGAAAGACACACATTTCTTGGGAACAGCTGTTGGATGGTCTGCAGCCTCTGATGGTCTGTGGTCTGATCATGACACCACCCCCTCCAAAACGATCATGTTAAAGGACACAGTTTGGCATAAGTCTTTCTCCTTTACGTCGATAAATCTGTTGACGTCCATCTGCAAAGGATAAGTTAAACCTGGATTCATCTGAAAAAATGACATCTGGCCATCTTGTTGCCAAGATCGGCCCCATTTGCGGCCCATCGCTGTCTGGCAAGTCTGTGGCGATGCAATAAGGTTGGACCACGGTACGGGTGACGACACCGGATGTTGAAGGCAGCAAGGCGTCCTTGCACCTTTTGGGCGCTGAAATGACGTTGACTTGTCCCAATTGTCCTCCTTGCCTAATCATCAGCTGTTTGGAACCGATTTCGCAAGTGCGAAACTCGGATATTGCGGTTTTGTCGAGCTGTTATCACAGGTGGTGCACCAGGTCGCGGACGATCAGCAACACTTCCGGTAGCCCGAAAACGTTGTCTGAGTCGACTTACAGTGGATGGATGCACATTAAAGTGCCTGGCAATTATCACATCTGAAGCACCTTGGCTGACCATACCGATAAAATGATTCCTTTCGTCTTGTGTCAAGTGTGGCATTTTCTCAAAGTGATTGAGTTCCACAATTCCTTGTGCTTTTACAGGTCCTGGGTGCAGGTAATGCATGTGCACAACGTGTTTCATGAATGTGGGTGTGTTTACGAGAAATGTCAAAGGTTCAGTTTTCAGTATCTAAGTTCATGTGAGAGGAATGCTCCGGGACTCGAACTCGAAATGGGCCAGAATAACAGCCTTTTATCCCTACATCCTCTGTATCGCAGGAAAAAATCTTCAATAGAACTTTTGTAAGTTTCAGGACAACAAATACCAATTGCGTTTTTAATGGCTTTCAGTATATGTTTCTAAATAGAATGCCATAATCAGAGACCTTATAATAAATATAATGGTCTGTGATATAATGTAGAAATCGCTTGCAACTCTTCGAGGAGTGATTCCGAGTTGATCACGTGACAACCACCACCATCATCATCATAGATAAATAAAGATAAAGGGGTAATTAATTACGCATGGTGAATCCTTTACAAACGGTTCTATCGCCAAATTCTGACAACTAAGCCACATTAGCTGAGATCTCGCAGCCAGTTGATGTCTAACGAAACCGTTGTTGCCTTAGTTACACGCGCTGCCCTGGAGTAATGTGTTTCTTTGTCAGACAATATACATGATTGCTCGGCTCCAGACACTGTTGATGAACAGGGGAATAAATCGCAATTTGTAAAACGGGAGTTCGTTGTTAAAAACCGGGCAGCAATTCTTCGCTTGACAATCGTCTGAAAAATTTGCCGGTTGAAATGTTCAGAGACAAATGTAGGCTTAATTACCGATAAGCCGCATCAAAGGGAATAATTGAGGACAAAACTTGTGTTGATGGAAAAGACCAATCAACGCTAGCCTCTTTGATCCCATGATTAGAAATGTTTTTCTCTATTCCATCTGTGTTTTTTCGGGGATAGTGTCAGGCAAACCAAGCTCGATGCTTCGTGTGCACATATAGCTGTGATGGCGGCAACCCAGACAGAGAAGATGAACCCGAGCTCGAAACAACATATCATCCTCGGTATTACTGTCGTCGTCGAGCCGCCGTTGGAGCTTGATCCGTCTCTGAAGAGTAAATATTTTTCCATCTTCTTTACAACCCCCCAATAATTTAAAAAGTTTAAATCTAATACTATCTGTTTAATGTTAAAGAAATTAATAGCGTGGCTAAACGTTAATCGATATGGAGATATTATCCAGCATTTTTTGAAATGTTAATGTCATGTTTAGTTTGCCTTTAGCAAAGACTGTTCTGAAATAGAAAATTATTTTTATTTGTCCTCATTCAGCAGTGTTAAAGCTATATGACGGCGGCCTGTAAATGATCTGGACCAGACTCGATTATTTACAGACCGCCGCCATATAGCTGGCATATTGCTGAGTGCGGCGTAAAGCTAAACTCACTCACTCACTCAATGTGATTAAAATAACATGGCAGAATACGTTTGTGATTAATTTAGCTAGTCAGATACATAAGTACCATATCATGCTTCTGTACACACTATGTATATGCTAACAGTATTTTACGACGAAGCTAGTTCAAGGCCACCGTAAATACTCGAATCAGGGAGAGTCAAACCAGTGGTTGATAGCGTGATCAACGTCCCACGTCATAGACATCTATGTTCTGAATGCGTTGCATCTGAACATCGTATTCAAACGTGTGTATTCGTTTTCTTTAATCGTTCTGTATATAATGTGCGTTATTTTTTGTTTGTACGTTGTATATATGTTATTATACATACTGTACACTATGTGTATGTTTTCATTGTTCTGTTACAACTCTGTTTACCCTGTAAATTTCATATCAGTGTTCGGGACGGTGGGGTAGCCTAGTGGCTAAAGCGTTCGCTCGTCACGCGGAAGACCCGGGTTCGATTCCCGACATGGGTACAATGTGTGAAGCCCAGTTCTGGTGTCCCCCGCCGTGATATTGCTGGAATTTTGATAAAAGCGGCGCAATACCTCACTCATATCAATGTTCTGTAAACAATCTTTTTAACTTCAAAACACTTTCAAACTCAAAACACTTTCCAAAATGTTTACGTCGTTTTATAGAAAATATCCCAACAACACCGAGTTTGTACTCTTTGGTTCATTAGTACATGTCCTTAGTAATATTTGTTTTGCTTACGTTATCTGTACTTTAACATATTGATATTCCAAAATAAAAATATATAGTTCCTTTCTTTTAGACTGTTTTCGTCAATTTCTGCAGATATGACCGACCAATCACGGTCATTTAGCTGGAATATTGCTGACATGAATCTGATTGACAGAGTTGTAACCAAATCCTAAACTAAAAGTCTGTATCAATGTATTAATCAAACTAAAAATTGAATAATTTACATTTACAAAAAAACGTGCATCGTCAGTTTTGATTTATTTAGCAATTTGTTAAAGCCAACGAAATTGCACACGAAAGCCATTCTAAGATGATATTACATTAACAGCTATGAGTTTTTCAGGTAATTGTCGGCTCTACTTCGTCTACCCACACTTTCACAAAAATATTTCCATGAGAAATTAAACGTAAGTTGATCCTGTTTTAATCAAATTAAACTCGGTGTTCGTTACAAAATCGGTTATCTTGTTGGAATGATATCTCAGGCTGTTGTAACAAAGTATCAAACTCCATCACATCAATTTTCAAAATATGATGTCTATTATATTCTAACAACTTTCCTCCGAGCTTACGTAAAGAATCGGGAAACTCGTAAAGGTCACTG